AGCTCTGAAAGGATGCCCCACCCCAACCCCATTTACTTGCAGCTGCCTGGCACTGCAAGCTCCAGCATGCCTTGCCCAAGCAGGGCCAGCTGGGAAGGAGGGAGGTGGATATATAAGTTGAGGTGGAAGGAAGGAGGAGAGACATTTGAAAAGAGACACTCGGAGAAGGAGGGAGGAGAGACATTTGAAAAGAGACACTTGGTGAGGCTCTTCCTGGGACTTTAGCACTTTAGCAGAGACAATGGCAGCTGCTATCTTGACCTCATGGTGGATTGTATGGTATGTTTTGACTTTTCCAGCTCTCTGGGGACTGCATAGCCCTTTTGCTGTGGCTCCTGACAGTATGTGCATTGACTTGCTCTGGTGCTTTCAGGTCTCGGCTGCCCCACTTTGGGCAGAGCTTGTTTGGGTGAAGATGGGATAGAAATTTTTCAAAGTTTGTTTATTTTAAAGTCCTTTCTTCTCTCTCTGTGCGCACCAATTAAAGATCTTTCACACGAGGAGTAAGCTTTCCTTGCCTTTGTGCATGCAGATGGCCAAACCCTTTTGGAATGTGCACCCCATGTTCGAGGTCCCTGGGCACTCCTGGACAGCATGGTTACAGTACAGTGTATGAGAAGGCCAACCAATTTACTTTAGTATTCTTACGAGAGTGGAAAGTTGCCCTGTCCTGGTGTGACCATGTGCCTGAGGGGCAACCGGGGGTCCCCAAATTTGTACACCCCAATGGGACATCCATGCAAAGGCAAAGGAGAGGCTTAGTGTGAAAAATCTTTACTAGAATTAATGTGCATAGAAAGAGAAGAAAAGATGATAGTTTCCCAATAAAACATCCAAGATTACATTTCCTAGTGGGCAAATGTCCAGCCTGAAGCGAGGCTGCTGAGGTCCAAAATCTTGCCACAAGTCTAAGGCACCTTCTGGCAGGTAACTATAGAAGGAGGTTAAAGGGGTCAGGCACGTCTGGGGTTAAAGGAGCAAAATTAAAGTACAAATCAAGGTAATGGCTGCCATCGTCAGTTTCCCTATGTGTCTCTTCCAAGTGTCTCTGCATGTCTCTCCTCCACCTGTCTCCTTCCCAGCATTACCAGGTACAAGTTGGGCTGCAGGAACAAGAGGTCTCCCGTTCTCCTTTTCTTCCCCAGAGCCCACCTGCCTTTCCTGTCAAATAGAGCTTCACCTGGCCGCTTAGGTCATGAGGTGGAGCAGGGCACATGATGCCTCCCCTTTTATGGAGATGTTTCTGTAACACTGTGGAGAGGCTGCCAGACCCAGATTTAGGAGCCGTGGAAACTATCCTGCAACTGCTGTGCCTCGGTTGTGTTCATGACACCAAATGCATCTTAGTCTCCCTTTGTCAGGAATGAAAATTCATTTGTAATCTGTGTTAGGTCATTTTAGAAAGATTTACTTCATTTTTGCAGCTTCTCAGTGTCGTTTTCACCCATCTTTCTCTTGCCATCCTCTGTGCTCATTACCTGGCTGTTTACGTGAAGCCTTCTTCATCTCCTTGTCACAGACAGTAGATTAATATCAATTTTCCAGATTGATGTGACTTTTAATCTTTGCCCCAAACTCTCCTGACTGACCATTGCTTCTCTGGTATTGAGGTGTCTCTGGTGTGAACCTGTTAACCTACTATTCCAGAATAGTTATCAGAGGCTTCCTACGTATTCTTTATATTCTTGTTTTGAACACTGGTTTTGCAATTTTCAGAATGTGCCTTGTGCCTTCCCCCCCCACCCCACAAGGCTTATCATCTGCACAGAGTTTTATGTGTCCTCTCAAGCTAGATGATAAACTTCCTGAGGATAATTACTACCATGTATAGACCAAGTATTCTTTGCTATAGATGGTGGGAGATACTTTACATTCAGCACATCTAGATTTTCTAATAATAAAGGTGGGCATTTTTATTTTTGATATGGGAAGCCACTCAAAAGTGGTTAAATGATGTCCTCAAGGTCAAGAGGAAGCATGTGAAAGCTCTTATTTCAACTGTGTCACTTAGAAACACACAAACTGAATGCATGGTACTGCCTAGCACCTAGATGCTAGACATATATATTATTGGGGTGCAAAGGTAATCATTTCATCTCCTTCTGGGTTCTTCTAGGTTGGCAAATAATCCAACAAGCATCAAATAGATTGATGAGAGAAAGTCATAGAGAAATTTAATAGTAAATGTATATCTCCTGTATATATGGAGGAGACCCAGCCCAGCTGAGCAACTGTGGCTTTAGATGGCATGTTAAATAGCTTAGCTAGGACCAGGGAAGGGGAAGAAATGGGAAATTCAGTTAGAGTGTTGACTGGAAACACAAAGGTACTTTTTGCTTTCTCCTTTGAGAAGAGGTGAGGGGAAAGACCCTCACAGAGATTTGATATGAACATCAAAAGCAACTTCTACCCAGTCAAAGTGCCCCTCCCATGAAATAAACTTCTTGCCAAAGATAGGTTTTTGTTGTGGCAAAATTTTGTTCCCCTACAATACCCATGAAGGTTTTACACCTTCAAAACCGCGGCACTCGAGAGTTGCCACCAGGTGGCAGCAGCTTGCCATAGCCATGAAGTCTGGTTTTGAGATCCACCGAAGAGCAGAGAGGAAAGCCGCCCTGGAATGTTCTGATACACTCCTTATTTTATATGAAAGTGGAGATGCTCAGATGATTATTTTGTCTATTCAAGATCTTTTAGTTAGTAAAGAGCAAAACTAAATCTCAGGTCTAAAACTTCCAAAGCAATTGTTTTTCATTTGACCAACTTGGATATTTTTCTTTAAAGCTTGTCATTTTGAATCATAACTTTTCATATACTTTCAATTATTCAAATCTTTCATTAAACTAGTAAATATATCAAAATTAAAAATATTTTACTATAAAATTGAAACTTTTTTTAAACCGAGTTAGGTAGTTTTCGGGTATAAAAAGTGTTAAAATACAGATAATACAAAAAGGATAAAAAAAAATACCAGCAAGTTCTGCAACCAGAGACAATCATTATTTTAGTATATATTCTCCCAAATGTTTCGCTACTCATCTGTAAAATCCACTTTAAAATTAGGCTAAACAAAGACATAATAATTTCATATTAAACAAGTTTCTGCTATAATCTTACTTTCAGTTATTAAAATTTTCTTCAGGAAAACTCCTGGATCCTTTAAAATTCTCTCCTTAATCATGTTTGGTTGCCAATAAGGGGAATTCATTTTTTAAAAAGATTTATTTATTTACACATACAAAGAACTGGGGTACAGGCCAGAGGTGGGGGTGGTGAGAGGATTCACCAGAGACAGAGTGGGGAACAGAACAGGCAGACTGACTGGCATACACTGCTGAGGGGAACAGCGGGTGAGTCAGGAGAGGTCTGCTGTGCCATGTGGGTAGCTCCCTGGCCGGGGATAAAACTCATGCTGCAGTGGCTGCAGATAGCTTCATAGATTTGAGTCTTAACCCCTTGCGGCACCAGGGAGGCCCTGATGTTTAAAATCTTAAGAACATCTTTCATATCCTAGAGATCCACTCCCTGCGCAGTCCTCACACTCACAATACGTTCTTCTCCATACAAGTACTCCCCAGGTCTTTCATCTACCCCATGGATAAGGTTCCAAGCCTGTAACTTTCAGAGTAGCTTCCTATCTGAGCATCTTCTTTTAAGGGTGGTGCCGAGATGGAAACATATTCCAGATATGAACTAGAGAATGTTCATTAACCATCTTTTCCATTCTATATTCTCTGTCCTTTGAAAGACAGGAGGTATTATAAACATGGGTTTTGAAGACAAAGACCTGAGTTTTATTAGTCTTCCTCATCTCTGAATCTATTTTAGTCATCCATTAATTTTACCTCCTCTCACAGGTTTGCTATGAGGAAGAGTACTGTGTAAATATGCATAGTACATTGGCCTCTCAGAAAGTGGTCTAACTAAATTCACAGTGCAGGCAACACCATAGCTCTAGTAGTCACACTACATGATCTGTTCTTACTCAGCTATTACTATGTATTGGTCGGAGTTCAGACAACAGAACCCATTCTGGCTAGTTTAGCACAAAATGCTGAAGGGATAGCACTGTCAAATAATGTATTTCTTTGGATCTGTAATACACATTTAATTTTAAAAATCCAAAATTCCATTTGAATTTTATTGACTGCAGACATAATTTATACCATGACTCAGTACACATGCATGCTTAAATATGTAATCCAGTCTTCACAATGTTTACCCATCTGACATGTGTTGCCCTCTGCTATTTTTCTATTCAGATTTTTTTATGACCCTCTCAGCTGATTTCATGTCTCAATAATAAATTGTGATCCACAGCTGGAAAAGACATTACTATTAAATGATCTTGAGAACCACTGAAGGACAGAAAGCAAACTCTAGCCTGTGCTTCCAAGAAACCAGGCCAGTCCAGAGCACTCCCATCTGTGTGATCTACCCCTGATGCCTCTCTAGTCTCATACACGAGGGCTAACAATGCCTTCAAACCCCCAAAGTTGGTGCAAATGGATTGGATAAGAACAGCAAAGAAAAGCAGCTCTAAAAGAAGGTGCAACAGACATGAATCAAGCTAATCCACAGAATCAGCCCCTATTGTAAACACATTTATTCAAAAGTACTTGTGATGGAAAAACCCAGTGGCTCCAGCATACTTCATCATTATTAAATTTCACTCCTATTAAACTGAATATTTTCTTGGATACAGACTATTATTGCTACTTTGGCGAGGGAAATCATGTAAACCAACTAGTACAATTTACTTGATGGGATGGAATTCAGGAGAACCAACCCACTGGAAATTCCCAAGTTATGTTTCCTTGTACTTTAGTCATTAGTCAATCAGGAGTCAAATCCGGGTCTACCAAAAGGAAGATATTCCTAAAAACCTAAAAATATAAAAAACTGAAGATTCTCTCATCCACATGAAGAATATTAAGATTAAAAAAGAAAAAAGCTTCTTAGACCCATTAAGGAGAAAAGGATTAACTTCCTTTTATTTTCTTTTGATTCATTTAACGCAGTATTTTATATCTGTGGAAGAATTCAAGTTTATTGAATGAAAGGCATTGCTAATAGTTTAACATAGTAATTAAAACAAAATGCTGAGGGGTAGCACTGTCAAATAATATATTTTTTGGATCTATAATTAATAACCATTTAATTTTAAAAAGAAACTTTTTATTAGGTGAAGACAAATTTATACATCAGATACAGAAAAACACAAGAAAGTAAGTTTCTGTGTGATTCCAACAGAGGAACCCTTTCCATGATCACAAGAGAACCAGGTATTTTTAGAAGTTAAAGTTACTGAGTTTACAGAACAGCAAAACACCAAAAACACTTTCAAGAAAAACTTTATTTTTAACAAAGTAATTTTGCCATTTTCTATTCTTGGCATAAATTAATTCTTTCCAGTGGAACCAAAGCCTCCTGCACCCCTTTCAGTGTCCTCCAAAATCTAAAAAGACATCAAAATAGCAATATAGTTAATTTCAAATTCATCATATAGTTAATTTCAAATTCTCTTTCAGTTCTCTCCAGCTCCTTATTTGTAAGACTTTTGTTCTTACTGTACCATCTCTGCAAAAAAAGACTACAAAAGGAAATTTAAATCTTTAACATAAAAAGCTCTAAAATATTGGATAATTTTCAAAAAAGCTAAATACTTCAATTTCACAATACATTTAAATTACCCGTTATCCCAAAATCATACCTAATAGCTATGAAAAACATTTCAAGAAATTCTAAAACTAAGATTTTAATTTTTGCTTACAATAGGACAACTCATATATGCTATTATTTAATTGGTGCAAATAGCATATTAAATCTGCAAAAACTTTTTTCTTCTCTAAGATATTACATTACTCATTCTCTACTCAGCTTTTGATACTCACTTGAACTTCTTCTATTTCTGGATAAAAAATTCTTTCACAAATGAGCTGTGCAATTCGATCACCCTTTTTGACTTAAAAGTAAAAAAAAAAAGTTTAGTATTGACATATTATTGATGTATTCTCTCTATCCTACCTTGTTCAATGAGAATTAGAGAATAAGGATGTGGGTTTTTTTTTTTTTTTTTTTTAAACGTAGAAGAACTGGGGTATAGGACAGAGGTGCAGGGGGTGAGAGGATTCAGCAGAGACAGAGTGGGGAGCAGAACAGGCAGATCTACTGAAATACACTGCTAAGGGGAGCAGAGGGCAGACAGGAGAGGTCTGCTGCACCACCTGGCCAGGACTGAACACAGGCTGCAGTGGTAACAGCATGATAGTACTAAGACTTAAGCCCTAGGCCACAATGGAGGCCCTTGTTTTTGTTTTTGTTTTTTTACTTTAAAATAATTCATACAAACTTTTATTGAATTGAGAAGATCAAGGGAGAGAGTATAAATGCAACCCTGACTACTACAAATTTCACAGTTAAGTTTCCCACATTTGGCAAATTGCAGGGGTTGGCACATCCACAGTGCAATGGGGAAGCTGCCTCTGGGTAAACCACCTTTGTGGTTGCAGCATCTCCCCTTCATGTCAACACAGTATGTGTTATTTACACACACGTAACTCAAGACTGAAATACATTTATGTGAGTCTATCTACTTAACATACCTTCAAACTTTTCTTTGCCAAAATTAAACAGTACAACACCAACATTTCCTCTATAATCTTCATCTATGACACCAGCTGGAGAAGAGAAAAATAATATTAACTTGGTTTATGCATCTAAACACTAAAGGTACAAGATTATCTCAAAGTCATTCTTATGTAGCTGACATTTTTGTATTTACAATTGAATACATCGTGCTCTTGGCACTATGTAAAGCCTCAAAACTAAGGAATTGTGTTACTAAAATGCACATATAAAGACTTTAGAAAATGGTCCTAACTTTCCATCCTGTGACTCTTATCAAAGGGAACAGGCACTCATACAGATTATGCTGATTTACTCTCTGCAAACCCACCATCTACATGCTGGAAACCTACCCAAAAAACTAGGAAAAAATTGTTTTGGGTTATAAAGGTTTTTCTGATAGCAGCTTCCCACTAACATCCAGATTGAAATATGATTGAGTTATAAAAAAAAATGTTAAAAGCCTTTAAGATCTACTGTGAAATAAGTCATTGTTCAGTAGGAGTCTGGCAAATACCGTAACACTCCATTTTTAATAACAAAAATAGAGCAGGAGTTCTCAGAAGAAATGAATACACTTTTACCTAAAATTGTGTATAATTAGTACCTGTTTGAGTTTATAAACACCAGCGCAGCAAGATCTTTGCAGGAAAGAAACTTGAGCCAGAGCTCTGCCTTGGCCTAGAGAGCTTCTTATTAGCATTTGTTTTTGGGCCAAGAATTTAAAATGTTTCCATAAATAGAAGCACAGATAATACAGGTGCAGCAGGCCTTCTCATATCTTTTTTTTAAATATTGAAAGACAGTTCGCAATTCAGTGATTTTTAGGGCATTCAGAGTTGTGCACTGATCACCACAATCAATTTTAGAACATTTTTCCTAACCCCAAAAGAACCCCCAATACCCATTACCAGTCATTCCCTCTCCTCAGCCCTGCCAAATTCTCTTTATGTATGTCGATTCTTTACTCTTTAGTTTATAAAATGCTGGATTCTTGTAAACTTAATTAAATGTAGCTCCCTGTTACATCTTAGATTTACTTAAAAACACACCTTCTAATAAAACCCTTAAAGGAAATAAAAATAATCAGGAATTTAACTCACTGAATTAATGCTGCTGGTCAACTGAAAAAAGTTTACTTTCTTTTTTTTTAAAAAAAAGATTTATTTATGCATACACGAACTGAGGTACAGGCCAGATACGGGAGTGAGAGGATTCACCAGAGACAGAGTGGGGAACAGAACAGGCAGACTGATTAAAATACATTGCTGAGGGGAGCAGCTGGCGAGACAGGAAAGGTCTGCTGTGCCATGTGGTTTTCCTTGCTGGCCAGCCAGAGATGGAACCTGTGCTGCAGGGGCTGCGGACTGCTTCATAGTGGGGTGCTTAACCTTGCACCACCAGGGAGGCCCAAGTTTACTTTCTTTTAAAAACAAGAGTAAACCTTCTCTTTCAATATTCTCATATTGAAGGGAAAAAAAGCAAATCTTAAAAAAGCTCTACCAATAGGGAAAAATACATAGAATAATCAACATTTTAGATTTCTCTCCTGGAATATGGAAGTTGAAATGAATTCCTGCACTTTATGAATGAATTACCAGGGATAAGAAAAACTGAATTTAAGTACTTCTTAAAAGGTTACTGACACAATACTTTTAAGAGTTTTAATTAAAGATAAATAAATGTTTGAAGTGAGAAGGGGAAATATAAAAGTGGCTGAAAGGCAGAAGAGTGGTTCATACTATGTCTAGACTGAAGGAAACATTCTTTTCTCGTTGCACAGCAATAAAACTTTAACCAATTTAAAAAAATTATGAAGCCTGTTTTTTCCTTCCCATTACCAGCTGACCATTAATTTAGCCCTAATATTTATTGAAAGAAATGATAGAAGATGGGACCAGCTTCTTTGTTATTTATATGCAGAAAAATTTTGGCTGCAGGAACAGCATAGCTCAGCTTTAATGAATATATATATTTCATGCCAGAACAAATGATCAGAGAATGCTATGGAATCTCTATGCGGGAGATGTGATGTACAGTTTAACACTCATTTATGCAGACTACATTAGATAAACACAGTGTGGACTGACTGGTTTCTGAACTCTTGTTTCCACTTTATTAGAAAAAATTTTTAAATACCCAAGCAGTTCAAACACATATAAAGAAAAAGCTAATAACATCCCCCTGCCCTTCCAAAGGAAGCTAATCTTATAATAATATATTATACATATTTTTCCACTTATTAGACATTCTTTGAGATTACAGAAGTCAGTCACTTTTTTTTAGGTTCAAGATATGGAAATACAGTACCACTATTTCTATCTAACTATCCACTTTTATATTATCAGACATCCAAGCTGCTGTGACATTTTTGCTATAACAAACAAAGCAGCCCACAATGCATGGTCCTTGAATAACAGTGCTTTTTATTCTTACCAAATAGGTTCTAAAAAAGCACTTTCCTAGTCAAAGGGTTGTGTACATTTTATATATTAGTGGCTATTTTTTTTTTTTTATTAGTGGCTATTGCTAGAAAACTGCAAAAGAGATACAGCAATTCAGATGCAATCACTGGTAGTGAAGGTTACCCACTCCCAAAGTCCCAGATGTCAGTACCAGGTGGAAGCCATCCTTTTAATTCTAGCCAGTGTGATGAGTAAAAAATGTTATCTCATGGGTTCTCCTTGCATTTCCCTGGTGACTAGTGAGGTTGGACTTTATCATGTTTGTTGGACATTTACATGTTTTCTATATTTTATGGTTTTTTTCCTTATCTCTTTGGGTATTTAACTCTGTCTCATGATTTCCAAGTATTTCTTTTTTTGATTTTATGGTATCTTCTACCATATAAGAACACTCCCTTTTTGTAAAGACGTTTGCTATGATTCTGTAAAGTAGTCCTAGCAGGGGCCTCCCTGGTGGTGCAAGGGTTTAAGCACCCCACTATGAAGCAATCTGCAGCCTCTGCAGCACGAGTTCCATTCCCGGCCAGCAAGGGAGCTACCCACATGGTGCAGCAGACCTCTCCTGTCTTGCCCGCTGCTCCCCTCAGCAGTGTATTTCAGTCAGTCAGCCTGTTCTGTTCCCAGCTCTGTCTCTGGTGGATCCTCTCATTCCGCTACCTCTGCATCTCTGGCCTGTATCCCAGCTTTTGTATATATAAATAAACAAATCTTAAAAAAAAAAAGATAATTAGAAAAAAAAGTTTAAAAAATAATGTAGTCCTAGCAGGAATACTCAAATCAATGTGTGTCTTGAATTCTGCTATGTCAAGTAATCTATCAAGATTTTATTTGTGGGACACAGAAATGTAAAAAGCCTAAAAGAAATGAAGTAGCCTGAAGTCAATGAAAAGGTATGACAGAAAAAGCCCCGTTATGAGTACTTTTTTTCTTAGCAAGAATACTGACAGTAAAGATAAATTTCAATAGTTCCAAGTTGATTTATTACTCAAAGGTGATTTGACTCTCAAAACAATTCTAAAGCTTATTCAATTTTTCTACATAAAGGATATAAGCACCAGGGATATTTCTCTTCATGAGAAAGCAGAAAGTATTTTGAAATTATCACTGGAAAAATCATGCATTGGAACTGGCAGAGTGATTAACTGACTTCAGGCAAAAGTTTTACTGTGTCAAGACTTTGGCATGTCATTTGTTGGAAACCTTCTTAGTGAAAATTATCCACACCTACCAGATGTGAATTCTGAACAGAATCCTGCATACTCAACTTTTCCCTTTGACCCTTATTTACAGCTGGGATTTCTAACAACATCTCTCTTCTGAAATAAAAACTGTGGCCAACTATGATAAACTTGTGCCTAGGAGACATTTTTAAGATACTCTGCATCCAAGAGCATACTGCAATGTGATTTTTATGAAGAGCACCATACCAACCACCGGGCAAATTAACTTTCCGTTTCTTTTACATGAATTTTTTTTTTCCAGAGGGCTGTTTTAAACAAAGCAAAAATTACTAACAAAGTTGGGAGTGGGGGAGTTTCCACATATCAGAATTAAAACTTACAGTGTCTAATCTGTGGCAAGCAGTGTTAGATGCTTTATATACATTATCATTTAATCCTCCCACCCTTCAGAGGCAGAAACACTAATTTTCATTTTACAGATGAAAAAACTGAGGCTCAGAAAAGTTAAATAATAGCTAGGTAGGTAGTGACAAGGAAGGGAACCAAATTCAGTAGTTACTCCAAAGTCCCCGTTCTTTTCCCAATCCTTTAAATATATGCATTCTTTTATATCCTTGTAGTCCTAAATTACTCTTACTTGTAAAAATAATTGAAAACCAAACAGAACTAAATCCAGGCAATCCTCAACTCCAGTACACTGTCAGTTCCTGCCATGTTGAACTCAGCTCCTCTTTGGTCCCTAAGAACTGCTTCTGTGTTGCCCCACAGCTCCACCTAGTGGCTTCATGGAGAATGAAGGCAATGGAGACAATCCAGGGACAGGTTTCATCCCTTGCTTAACAGGGTAAGCAAGGTTAACAGTGACCTTGTTTGGGTGAGGGGGTGGGCAGGCGATCCTCAGCATTTAATTGCAGTGGAAAGACTAAGGGTATGGGATTCATATGTGAAGATCCCAGCTTTTCAATGTCAACTTAGTTAAAAAAAAAAAAAAGCAAAAAGCAGCTTTGTCAAAAACCACAGGAGGCAGAGAATCTATCAATAGAATACCCAAATATCCAAAGGCCAAAGATACCTTATTAGTGAAACATTTGCTTGCTTTCAACTGGGAAAAGGAAGGGTCAGGACACAAGGACCCTGTTAGTGAGGTATGTACCCCAGCATAAAGAGATCTGAAGCAGAGGAACCACATCAGGAAGCTGAGAATTTCCTTACTGTAACAGGCAATTTGGAGAACCCACTGGCAGGGCAGCTGCAGAGGAGACTGGGGCACCTCCTTGAAAAGGGGGCCCATGAGGAAGCTGCTCTCTTGGGGAGAAATGAGTAAGGCCGGTTGTAAGGGAAACAGAAGACACAGAGGACTTGCTGAGTATAACACTGTAACAGGAATGCACAGTGCTGTCTCATGCCTTTAAGGAGCTATTCACTTTTTATATTTTGCCAAACATGAATAACATCTTTATCATAAAAAAGACCCGCATTTTCTAGAATATTTTGCTTAAATGATTATTAAATACATAATAGTTTAGCAAAGTATAACTGTTTAAACAATAACATAAAAACTTTTCTTCTCCTTATAATAACAACTGTTCTCCTAAAAAGTCATTTTTGGACCTAATACAGATTGTCACTAAGTCAAAGGAAAAATCCTACTTATCAGGCAGTATCTAGATAATCTACTAGTAAAATAACATGTGTTTACATAATGGTCACTTAAAAATTAGATAATCAAACAGTATTTAAAAATGCATAATTGTTTACTCAGAGATGGAAGTAGCTAAACAGACAAGACACAACAAAACTTATATCCTTGAAAATAAAAATACAATCTGTCATTTGATTATTACCTCCTGTGCAAAGACAAAGCAAATACTTACAAATATTTACAGAATAAAAATGTAAATGTTACCTCCTACATCAATGAAGTGTTTTGCAGCCAAGCCAGAACGTGGAGCTAAAAAGGAAAAAACGGAGAAACTGGCTATTTTAAGAGAGGAGGGCAATAATGGATATAATTTGGCACAATTGAAGGATGTCACTCTCATCTATAATAGGTATATACAATCATCATAACTTTAACAGATGGCTCTGAATTAAAGACTTTATTTATTGCAATTTATTACTAAGGTAGAAAAGACTATTTTACAAATTTGACAACTTAAACCACTCCACAGGACTTCAGTCAATTGAGAAATGGCAGAGGTGTGGCCCGGGAGCCACATTGCTGGCTTGGACTAAAGGTGAGACAAGTGTAGACCATTTTTTAAAGAAGTTTGGCCACACAAGGAGGACTGTAGCTGGCAGGGGCACAGGGCTGAGGAAGAGGACTTTGTTTTAAAACAGGAGAACTGAGCATGTTACAAGGTACTAGCAAAGATGACAGAGAGATGGGCATAAAGCTAACCACACAGCAGCAGAACTTAGCCTACAACCTGGGACTCCTACTCATGATCTGGCCAAAGGCATGTCTGCATGAACCAAATGAACAGAGCAAGAAACGGGCCTCACAGCAGTCAAACAGGCCAAAAGTCGAACAAAAGGTCAAAAACTAAACCTTAAAAATTCAATTCCACTATGCTTTTTCATTCTATCTTTTTTTTTATTTCTAAAATGAAAAAACATAAAAGCTATGGTTATACTTATAGTTGCTGACTTCAGTATCAGGCCTGCAATTAATTATCTTAACTTGCAGAAGAACTTAAATTACAAACGTTGTCTATAAATCCTGCCCCTTCATTTTTACTTCACTCCATCACCTGACTCCCCCCAGCCCAAAATACTCTTAAAAGTGCAATGTTTGCCAAAAAGAGTTGGAGAGAGAGCTCATTTCTCTCTAAAGACTGACTTATTAAGTTTTCACACTCATGGGTTGTAAGTTTTACTCTCAAGATACAAAATGCCACCCTGAGTTTGTTTCTATCTCATTACTAACAAATACTGGCCACTCATCACTAATTTCACAAAGAAATCTGACTCTGTCTATGCAACATAGTCCTAAAATCACTTATATTTTTTGTTGTTCTCACAGTGAGAAGGGGTGACTAACTTCCTGACCAGTGTGAGCATCCTAAAAGCGCAAATAAGTAATCAAGGAAAAAAAGTAAAAAGATAGAAAACAGCTGATATGTGAATGTAAATTTTCAAACAGCTGCATTTGCCATCAAATGGCATTTATTTTAGAACACAGGCCAACAATAGCTCAACCCTCATTAGTACCCCAAGTAAAACTAAAAGGTAGGAACATATAAAGGAAGACCTTGACAAGTAGTCACCTGTGTCTTAAACCACTTACCTACTCTTCCATAACATCCAGAAGGAAGAGCTATCTGAATGTCAGTTTTCACAAGGGCTTTCTCCATAGGTGGTACTGTATAATCATAAGCACTGCAAGACAAAGAAGACAACTGGTATTTATTCATAAAATTCTTTTTTTTTTAAGATTTATTTATTATTCATTTATTTATACAAGCACTGGGCACAATCAGAAGCGCGGGAGGATGAGAGAATTCACCAGAGCCAGAGCGGGGAGCAGAGCAGGCAGAAGGACCGAAGTACACTGCTGAGGGGAGCAGCAGGCAGCAGGAGAGGTCTGTGCGCCTTGTGGGACCCTCCTCTGGTGGCCGGGGAGCAGCCAGGGATAGAACCGGCACTGCAGAGGCCGCGGGCAGCTTCGCAACCCAGTGCTCAACCGCTGCGCCACCGGGGAGGCCCTATTCATAAAATTCTTACATGTTCTTTCCCTGTTGACCAACTATAAATGTTTCATAAAGTCATAAAATAATTCATGCAACTTCAGATTTCTGTAACCAGTCTTGCTGAGTTCAGGGCACTAATTTCTAATTCATCTGAAAAAAGTTATGATGAAATCAAAAATAAGATATCTTCTTTTATTGTATTAGTAAAATTGTGACAGCTTTAGAGATAGTCATTCTGATTTTGGTGAAAGAGATGTCAATATGTGAGTGTTCACCCCTGAACAGTTACTGGGAAACTGAGTTACATATTGTCAGGAAGTAACAGAAAGGTGGACTTTCAAAAGGTGTATGTTTCACTAACATGATATGAAAAGAGGAAAATAACCCAAAAAGAAGGTAAATAATTGTTGATAATAGGTAACATCTATGAAGCACTTACTGTGTGCCAGGCACAGCTCTGCCTGCTTTATAGAATTCATTTTGTTATCACAACAACCCTCCATGTAATTAGGGAGAATAAGCAGAAGGGGGAAATGCTGGACACAGTAAGGGAGAGACAGATTGCTGGAAGGTGGAGCCATTTGGCATGTTCTGCTAATATTGGTAGTTTACCAAGCGGTGACCATGAACTTCACTGAGGGAGAGCTGATCACCATCAACAGGCCCTGGAGATGGATACTGCTGAGCATCTGATTCTCTAAAGCCCACTCAGCAAATGCTGCTTCTCTTGTTACTACTTTAGTCCCTTCCTTGGTGAAAAGTTAACATAGATTTTACAATGAGCAGAACAGAAAATTACTTTGGAGACCTTTTTAAAACTGGTAAAGCAGTACTGTATTTTTCACTGCTTTCAGTGGAATTTCCTCTCTTTAGATAGTTCAGGCCTAATTTATAAAAGAGGTCAGTTACTCAGATGTCTATTTCAGTCTATAGAAAGTTACCTCTGCTCATCAGGAGGCTGCTTAAAGTACCTTCAAGTCTCTCCTAAGACTCACAACAATGCAGTTTCACATTAGAATTACCTGAAATGCTTTAAAATAAAGCCTAGGGAGATAGTCACATAAACACCCGTCCCACCCATAATCGCTTTTCACCTACCTTAATGGTTCTAATAACTGGGCACAGTAGTCAAGGGTAGGGGGAAAACTGACCCAACTCATGGTCAAAAGTCTGTTATAGTCAATCCCTTGGGTAACCATCAATTCATTTCCTTACAAACACCCTCATCTAAAAAAAAAGTTAAACTCTCACCCACTTCAAAATTGTTGTAAAGATTAAACAAAATTGCCAGAGGAGAGCTTTTAATACAGGTAAAAAGTGCTGTACGAATGAAAGGGTGGTAGTATGACCTACATCCCTGCCTTCTATTATTCAGCAACTTTCTGAAATTCCCAGTCCCTGGGTGAACTGAAACACGATGTGTAGAGAAACTAACTTCTTTAAACTTCCTTTAAGGGGGAAGCAGCCTCCATTAATCTTTCTGAGGCAAGTTCATTCTCAGCACCCAAGCCCCCATGAAGCTTTTTCTCTTCTTTATTGGACCAGAGCATCACTCTTAGAAGGCCAGGTGGACCTTATCCATCCCACCTCTGCAAAGGGTGCAGTCAATGTTGCAAAACAGATAACGGCGCCCATCCACTGATATGTTCCATCCTGTGCCCTTTGCCTAAATCCCTCTTAAATTTATGCCAAAAGGGGAAAGCTAAAAAGCCAAACGGGGTTGGGGGGGGGGTGAGGAAGCAGAAACCTACATATATGCAAAAAAAAAAAAGTGATTCTCGCGGCGGTAGCTGGCGAGCAGCACTGCGCGCTCGGCACGGAGGGCGCTGGGGCTCCCCGCCAGAGCTGGGGTCGCCGTGGCTCTCCACGTGGCGCGGGCCCCGGCGCCCCACTCACCTATACAGGTCATAGCCCGCGGCTCGCGCCGACCCCTTGGTGGGGGCGGTGGCGTGTTCGGAGAGCCGGACAAAGCGGAGGCGCGCCGGGCCCTCCTCCACGGCCCGGGCCCGCTTGCTGGGGGAGACGGCGAGGGCCTCTTCGGAGCAGGGCATGGCGGTCACGGGCGGCGCGGCGCAGGGGGAGAGCAAGGTGAGCAGAGTGAGCGCGGGCGCGGGCGCGGGTTCGAACTTTCCCGCCGGCGCACGACCCCGCCCCGCGTCCCCTCCCGGCTCGGCCCACCCCGCGCTGGAGGCGGGCGCGGGTTTTTGGCGGGAACGCGTCCCTGCGCGCAGCCCCGGGGCCGGCAACGTCGGCTCCTTTTTAAACCTCACAATCTCAGCGTGGGGGTCCGACTTGGGGGCGGGTCGGTCTCCTTCTCTCCCCTAACCCCCCCCCCACCGTGAGGCCCACTCTCCCCGCACCAGGGGCCCCGCAGGGCGGCGGCGCGCGCGCGCCCCCTCCCGGCGGGGCAGGACGCGGCGGGGCGCGCCAGCCTCTGCCCAGCCCCAGGGCGCGGGCGGGGCTCCCGGCCTCCCCACGCCCTAGCAGGCGCCCTCCCCGCGGGGCCCCGACTTCACCGGCGCCGCGGAGGCCTCGGCTCGGGCCGCGCGTGCTGGACAGCGGCCGCGGCGCCTGGAGCCGCGCAGCGCCGGGCGGGCCCGGGCCGGAGAACCCCGCGTGGTGCGCCCCGGGCCCGGCGCTGCGCCCCTCTGGAAACAGGCGCCGGAAAGAGGGGGCGACGCGGCTGGGGAGCGCGAGGCGGGCACAGAGCGGGGTCATCCGGCCCCGGGTGGGGACGCCGGGCTGGGCGTGCGCCCCGCGCCGAGTCTGGCCCTGAGGACGCGCGTCCGGGCGGCGCGACCTCGGAAGCAGTCGCTGCGCCGGGGCGGGCGGCGCCTGGAGGCGGGCCCGGCCTTCCTCCCGCCCGCGCGGGCCGGCCGGGGACGCGCGCCCTGCTCCCCCGCGGCTCCCGGCCGCGCTGAGGCCCGCCCCCATTTTGCGAGGCCGCCCGCGAGGCCCAGGGCCGGGGCCAGGTGCTCTGCTCTTTACCGGGGGCGCCGCCGCTCGCCGCCATGACGCCAGGGTCTAGTCTCGGGGCCCCCAAAGCGGCGGCGCGGCCGTGCGACCTCGCGGGGCTGGCGCGCTCCGTGCCGCGCTGGGCTGGGCCGAGCCCGGGGACGCGGGCCGAGCGGGAGCGGGAGTGCGAGGCCGCGCCCTGCTTGTTGGGGGGGGTGGGGGAGCAGGGAAAGGGAGGGAGTTGGGGGACAGAGCCCTCAGGGTGACCACAGGTCTTGCAGTCTTCAGCTGGTGTTACAGGGCAGGAAGAGGGGCAGCCCAAACCCCGCAAACCTGCCTATTCTATATAGTGTTGATGCCGCCCCATCAACACTAAACATATGAGACTTGAATTGGAAGGAACTTTAATACAATTAGGAAACAATACTGGTAAGGCAAAGAATCTAGTTTCTAAATCAGGCACCCAAAGTTACCCATCCCCTCGTGGGTAAAACTCCATCCAAATGGGATTGGCCCAGAACAAGGCCCCAAAGCCTGACACAAGTCTAAAGCATCTTCCAGTGGGGACCCACAGAAAAGGGTCAGAAACAACCAGACAAGCCCGGAAGGAAAAGAGCAAAATCAACATCAAGATAAAAGCTGCCATGGTCACCTCCCCACGGGTCTCACCCACATCTGTGTCACCCCGTCCACGACCAAGGGAAAGTGTAGTTTCTTTATGTGTCTCTCGGCAACATGTGCCTCCTCCAGGTCTCCCTCTGGCTCCATCCTGCTTCCTTCCTCAGTCTCCTCTGCAGCTTCTTCTCTCCCTGCTCAGTTCCACCCTCCCTTGGGTGGGGCAGGGAACCTGGAACCTCCCCTTTTCCTGGGGACCACCCTGTTACCCTGGGACGACCCCACAGAAGCATGGGCTGGCTGCCATGGCTGTCATACCAAGACTCTGGCTATAACTTACCTTGGGGATGAAGAAATAACTTGCTAGATAATTTGTAAGTTTGATACACGTGTCCCCAATTTTCTCTGAAACTGACACAAAGTCTGTAATGCGCTTTTGTCGATATAGGTAGAATAGAGATCAGTTTCAGAGAAATGACTAAGAAATCAGGGTAGTGTTAGGGGGCTTTTCAGACTCCCTTGATGGGTCACCCTACAAGGCCACACCTTTTCGGTCTCCTTTACTGGCCCCGTCTTAAATGTTGGAATTACTCTGGGTGAGGTTATGGTTTATACTCTATTTGCACACCTCACGTGACTTTAAATATTACCTGTATCCTGATGACGTGCCAAATTTATACCTGTAGCTATTACGAATGGGCTGCTACTGGCCCAACTTTGTTGCAAGCCGTCATCCTGGCCCTCTGGCCGCTGTGGCTTTCTAAGTTTTGCCCCACCAGGAACCTGCTGAACCTGCACACAGCCTGCTTTGATTTATCTTCCTGTGTTTCAAGTTCAACTTAATTCAGACAAATTTAAATCAAATAACTTCCCTGACAAATTGAACTGAAGTAGCTTGTCCTATCTTCATCTCACCACCATTTTCACTACTTACTAGAAAAGTAATTGAGTATTTTTCTGGTCTCACTACTTACTACTACAGTCTTTTTTTACTTATTTTCTTGTTTATTGTCTGTTTGCTCTAGTAGACATAAGCCCCCTGAGGCAACGATAATATGTCTTCCTTCATCCCTTTATATCTGGGGCCTACCTTAGTATCTGTGATCCCGAAGGCTGGCCTCAGTTTCCCTCAGCCATAAAAGGAAACAGAGTTTGAGGAAAAGGAAAATGGTTTAATTTGTTGACAGATGAGAAGGGCAGCAGACTCATGTCTGAAAGACAACCGGCCTGCTCTTTGGCAGAGTGCAGGGGTATTTATACAAAGGAGAAAAAAGGGGAAGATGGACAGGGGTCTGCAAAGGGGAGGGGGAAGAGATCAGCACAGAGATGGGTGTACCAACTTGCTTTTTCCTTGGAATGCAAGAAAACAAACCTGTCCAGCAAGGGGGGAATGGCAAGAAATATGGGAAAGACAACGTTGTTAATGCTTATCTGAGAGACCAGTCATTTGTAACTGCATCACCTGCCTGGGAGTAGTGCTGCATAAATGCTTTGTGAATGAATGCTAGAGAGCTCATTGCCTATTCCATGTAGCTCCTGTATGTCATCATTTTTCACAGTCTTCATTTTTCTGTCTACTCCTTTCGTTTTCAAAGGGTGTCCCCTCTACTCCTCCATTTATTGCTTTTGCAAGCCCACAATGAAAGATAGCAGTCCCTGCCCTACCCTTCAACAAATGCCCTCCCCCACTGGAATTTACTTACTTGTTTCTAAATTTTATGGTGCTGTATATATTTCACTTATTTTCTTACACCGTTGTTCATTTTTATACAATATTTGATTTCTCAGCTCAGATGCTATTTGATTTTTCTTCATGCCCTCTTTGATTTTTCTTCATGGCACGCACTGCTGCATACAATTACAAATTTATTCATTTCATTTGTTGTGTTACCTCCACTAAGCTTTGTGATGGATTGAAATCTGTTTTCATTTGAGTTCTTTCTAGGTGTTCTAAGTTTCTTTGTATCCCTTTTGCCTTCATTTTATTAATTTTATTAACCAGGTTTTTAAAATTTAAATTAGTTTACTTTTCCCTCTTCTAATTTATAAGTTTCACTCTCTGATCATTTTAGATAAATTAAAACATGGACACTTACTTCCCCAGTGTCTAAAATCTAAGATTAGTAAAAATTATTATCTTTCTCCTACATAAGCTTTAGAACATTTTAACTCCATTACCCTTCTTTTGTTAAAGCCTAGTACTTTATAACTTTTCTTTGAATCTCGATAAGCACTATTATTACTACTTTTTTTTAAAAGATTTATTTATTTATCTATTTATTTATTTATTTATTTATACAAGCACTGGGTACAGTTAGAAGTGCAGGAGGGTGAGAGAATTCACCAGAGCCAGAGCAGGGAGCAGAGCAGGCAGAAGGACCGAAGTACACTGCTGAGGGGAGTAGCGGGCGGCAGGAGAGGTCTGTGCGCCATGTGGGACCCTCCTCCGGTGGCCGGGGAGCAGCCGGGCATCGAACCGGCGCTGCAGAGGCTGCGGGCAGCTTCGCAACCCAGCGCTCAACCGCTGCGCCACTGGGGAAGCCCAAGATTTATTTATTTTTGCATACAAGAGCTGGGGTACAGTCCAGAGGTGTGTCTCACCAGCGACAGAGGGGAACAGAACAGGCAGATTGACTGATGTACACTGCTGAGGGGAGCAACGGGCGAGACAGGAGAGGTCTGCCACTCCATGTGGGTTGCTCCCTGGCCAGCCTGGGATCGAATTCATACTGCAGAGGCTGCCAATTGCTTCGTAGTGCGGTGCTTAACCCCTTGCGCCACCAGGGAGGCCTCTGACTACTTTTTATAATTATTTTTGTAAAATGCACACCCATATTTTTATCACTTTATTTGCTTTTCTTTCTGCATCTTAGGCTGTCCCTTTGCCCAAATCTCTTATGAGAGTTTCTCCAGTAGGGAACTTTTCTCTGTTTTTGTCAGTTTAAACAAAACTCTTATACTCTCCTTGGTCTGTGGAGCAGCGTGGGGAGTGCATTTTTAACAGTCATTCAAGAATGTAAGAGGTGAGAATGTTGATAGGAAATCACCATATTTCCCCATAACTGCACAATTGTACTGTATCTGAATTTAGAACATTCTGTCGTGGGCCCAAATACTTTATCATACCACCATTCACCTTTACTAGAAAAATTTGTAAACTAAGAAAAGAGAGAAGTCATACTTTGTGTTCTGATACCAAAACTTAGAAATACAACTTTGTTTCAAGACCAGAGGTTTTTACACCATGGGCAAAGCACCAGAGTAAGTCTGAACATGCGTAAGAAGAATGCCTAACTTTTGTAAATGTGCCAGCGAAATAAGGGAGATGTGAAAGAAGACCCAGGCAGATCAGCATCATTAAAAAATACATATATATGTTGGTCATATGGAAGCGCATTCTTGTAAAACTATTTGGTCCAGAATACCATTGCTATAGCTCCTGGGATGGCTTAGATAACCCAATTTGGAAAAAACTGATCTAGCATCTAACATGTGGAAGCCAAAGGATGTTTTTGCCAGGTTCTTAGGAAGAACACAGAGATCAGATAAATATAAATAACCTTTCAATTTCACAAGAGCAGCACATGAACCTTAAGCATATAAGTTGTTTAGTAGATTGACATGAAATTGAGTGGCAGTTAGATAAACAAGTAGAGCGCTAGCACTTAGTCAACAAAACAAGCATTTATTGGTACAAAGCCACTTTGGATTAATTCACAGATTATTGCCGTATCACACTACAAAGATTCAAGAGGATCAGGATAGTTCACATACAAACTCAGAACTATAGTTCTCACCAACACACCACATACCAAGTCTCTCTCAACTAACACAATGAATATGAAATGCTGAATCTGAACTATGCCAGTGTGTGTAGAAGCACCAGGAGATGAAATTTCTGTCATTAAAGCCCAGAGGACAATTGTCATTTCATTTTAAAGCATTGTTGAGTTTTCAAGAAGTAAAGAAAATAAAAGCAGATGGCTTAAGAGGCAGGGTACTCAGGAGAAGCACCTAGAAAGTTTGCCCAAATGTACATGTCCAAACCCCTCTACAGTCTGACTACTTACTCCAGGGCAATTTTGTTTTACATTCCTGATTAAGGTCCACTGCTTTGGGGAATTTCTTTCTGAACAATCACCTGATTACTATATCCTGGAAAGAATTCACATTTAACCAATATTACCAAATTCACTAAAACCACTGTACCCTATACTATTTGATAGAGGCTCCTTTACCTAAATATAGAGTCAACACTAGGGCCTTTGTTTTTAGCAGTAAATGTGTGGTATAATTTTACTAAGAATAAGAAATCTTAATAATTGCAGAATAGCATTTGGAGTTTTTTCCTGGTTAAGCCAAATGCAGGCTATTAAAGCAAGTCACCAACAGTTACATAGGTCTGAAACTTCCTGTAGAATGCAAAGTGAAATTTTGAATAATTAGAAACTTGATGT